AATGCTTACCGGAGGTAGGGCTAAGCCAGCTTACTGGAAAAAATGGGGTGGCTGTCTGGGCTTTGCCTACTGGATCAGAGCAGAGAGATTAATTTCTCTCCCTATGCCCTCATGCCATGAAATCCAGCAGCACATTTTTGGACAGAACGAATGTTTAAGGCCAGGTACTGAAGGGTTTTGTAATGTTTGTGTGCGTGTGTACGTGTTTATGAATATACTCTACTAGTAGACTTATAAACTGGAGAAGAAGAAGAGGATTTGGCACTTGTGCCATCCACGCTTGAGTGCTGTGTGTTGTTTCTGTTGCTCAGTGCCACTGGACATACGTGTTTTTGCATACTGGAAAAACATCCCAAATCTTGCTACTGGCTGGACATGGGTGTGCGAAGGTGCAGCAGCCTTGCATCTATTAAGGTACTGGACCTGTCAACTCCTACTCAGCCACCTCAGCATTCCTGTTTTTGCTGTTGCATTATTTCATTTTTCACTGCCGTTTATCTTTAACCTGGTGCTCCGATGGCTGTACAGCCAGAAAAACAGCCTTTTTCTGTTGGGTAAGTAGCAATTCTGTCTTGAACTATGGTGCTAGATACCATTATATAGGTAATTATTTGTATTTGATGAGAAGACAATGGCAGCCTGCAGTTCCATATTAGTCTAAGGACATAGCAATCCTTACTCTGCTAGCCTGTTCCAGATGTGTCCTCTTCCATGGAGGAAGGCAGATGATGATCAGAATTAAAAGCCCATCAGCAAGGAACACTCCCAGTAGCCACAAAAAAAGAGGGAGTCAACTGCAGAAATGATCAGCCCCCTAGCAGGGTAGAAAGGTACAGGGAGGGATCATGTAACCCAGTTTCACTGCATGTCAATACTGTCGAGGCAAAGCACTGCAGGGGAAAGGGTACCGTGAGTTATTTTATTCTTGGAGCATTCTGAGTTTTGAGTATGGTTTATAACATGTCACTCTATGTCCACAAACCAAAGGACTGGAGAAGCCAGGAGCAGAATCTGGTTTACTTATTGTGCTCTACAGCGTCTCACAGAATTTAAAGTTTCTGTTTTCTCTCTTGAGAAACAGCAACATCCTTGTTGGATGTATAGAGAGTCCATCTTTCCCACTTCCCTCAAGTGCTGTCAGTAGACATTTGGGTCATTTGCTTTCCCTCTGGAAGGTGTTCCCAGTAACAGTGATGTCCAAGGAATAGTGAACCCTTTCTATCAACAGAATTGGACAAAAGCCTTTGATGCACCAAAAAACCCCAAAACAAATGGTTCAAGACTAGCCCACATGGAGCAGTTGCTTGTGTTTTGACAGGTGTTCTGAGGTTCCCAGGGGGCTGGAGTAAGATCAGTTGAATCATTTCATCAGCAACTGGAGAAAATGGACTGGCTGGTACAACTCTTTCCCCTACTCCTGAGAGTCCAGTCAGACATCATAAAACAAACGCACCAGTTGGTACCGGATGGAAAATGCAATAGTGCTGCCCAAGACCTAGGTAAAAATCAAACATACAACAGAAACATTAGTGTTGAATGGTCCACAGGCTGTAAGATTCCTCCTTTCCATATGGATTTGCTAAGCTTTCCAGCATGCCTTATTTCATTAAATAGCAACATACAGGTTAAATTTTTTAGGTATAGGAAGACAAATGGCAGAAGCCTATCCACAGACCTAATTTCTTTCTCTGAGATTATAGGTATCAGTGGGGGATTGCTGCATGTGCCTGCACACAGTCACATTCTGAGAACATGTGGATGAAATGAATGGTTGGGAATAACTCATTCCTCCTTAAGGAGCCTATATTATAATATAATATGGTTTGTAATGGAAAATACCTCATGTCAAAGCTGCAATTCAGCATCCTTACAATAAAGTGCTGTCAGGAATTCTTTGCTGTGACTGGGTTCTGTACTTTCCTGTCTTCTGGCAGTATCTGTGAGGTGTATTATCCTTGTGCTCCTAGTGGCTCCAAAATGCTCCTGCTCAGATTCCGGGGACTGCTGAGCCTTGTGCCACCCTTACACAAGTCCACCTGTCAGAGATAACTCCCAGACTCTCATCTGCTATGACTGACAAACAGGAACATGCGGAAAGGCTGTACTGGGTCAGAGTCACAAAGCACTCTGCTGTCCTCATGTTTTTCTTGCAGCCAATAATCTGTGCCTTGGGAATTTCCTCAAGCTAACCTAGGGACTTTGTTTTTATAAGCTCTCAATGAACAGGGAGGTGTGTGTGTGAATTTGCTTCCTCCTTGAGCTGTGTAAGCCTCTGATTCTCCCTAAGCTCAACTGCATTTTGTGTGAAGAGCACAATACTGTACTTCCCCCTTTCCCCTTAAAACTCTTGAGACTAACTTGGATCTGTTTCCACTGCAGAGTACATCTTTCTACCGGAGGAACCCGTTGTCTGACCTGAATGAGTAGCAACAGAAGAGTGAGATTTCGCTCCTGGGTGGGTCCAATAAGCTTTATGACAAAGTTAATAAGTGTCATATTATTGCATTCAGTGTATTCGCCATCTTCATCCATTCCACTCCTCACATCTACTACATGCAAGATCTTGACTACCTGGGGAAAGAAATATTGCACAATATTTCACCAGGTATGTTTGGTGCTCACTGGCTTGGTTTTGTTCAAGAGCCCTTTTGCTGTACCATCCCTGAAATCTGGCCTATATTCTTACTAAAAAGACAGAACAGATTTATGATGGTCCTGGGACAGTGCTATGTGTGGTTGTTCTGAAAGACTGATTATTAAAACAATGAAGTGACCATTAGGGATGGTAACAGACTAAGCAGAATATTTTCTTCTGGATTTGAGCTAGGAAGTAACTACTGAACTCAGAGGTTTTGCGTTCCCTCCCATCTTGCTCCTCTTGCATGGGACCACTGCCTCAAAATTTTGCATCGGAATTTTGAATGTTTTCTGGGTATTACCTTCAGAATGTTTGCTCCTAGGGCAGAGAGGCTCTTAGTTTTGAATTTGGAGTAGCTCATCTCCAACTTTCCTGTACCAGGGTTAAGCCTAAAAGAAACATTAAAGATTTAGCCCAGATAAAATAAGACAGAGACATCCATCCCTATGTACGCAGACTTAGATCCACAGCTGAGTAGCAGAGAAAGAAATCCAGTGGTGGAAAAAACAAGAATAACCCAACGCACTTAACAACAGACGCTGATACCTAGTCCCTCAGAGGGAGCAGAGGAGACTCCTCCTCCCCTGTACCAATATATGCATAAAGCTGTATAGTTTAAAGACTAAAATAGAAGAATCTAACATCTGCAGAGACAATACCTGACATGGCATAGTGCTGCAGAATGCTTGCTACTATGAAATCTTAGGAGATCTCAGTACAACAGCATTAAAAGCATCCTGTGTCAACTTCTCTCAATCTTGTAGTTTGGGATCATCATATTCTAATATTGTTAAAAATATTTGTCTGTATCTGAGGAGTGGGGTGGTCAGAAAAGTTCACTTTTCTGGGAAATGTCTACAGTATGATTGGACTGTAGCTGACAGAGTGAGATGGTTACCTTTTAACTAGATAACATACTTTGATGGCTTTTAAAAAGAACACCTATCACCACCTTTCTCAGCTGGTGTTGAAGATAAAAGACACAATCTGCGGTACCACTATAGGTCACTCAGGTACATTACCTTGGCAGCCGGTGACGGGGACAAGGAATGATGTGGAAGAGTTGAGGCAATGAGTAGAGGAAGTTGAGCACTTGTGGGATGAAGAAAAGCAGCATTGTTTTGCTGAAGTGCCCCAAGATCCCCACCACAGCAAAGGTCATGCCGGCAAAGTAGCAGAAGGTGTCCCCAACAAACACTCGAGATGGGTACCTGCAATCCATGGGGCAGAAAAGCAAAGGTCTGTCATGATTACTGTTTCCATGCAAATTACTTTGTATGCCCACATCACAGGTTAGGGGTCAAGAGGGATGATCTACACAGTAAAAACAACTGTATGTATTTATTCTAAGAATTGCAGAACTGGGACTCACCATCTGACTTGTAGAGAATATGGTATGAAAAGATGGCCAGTGAGGCATGCAAGGGAGTATATTCTGACTCTGAGGATTTGGGTGTGCTGGTGGGACCACAATTGCTCTAATCAAAAGAAAAGCTACCACCGCGTAAATGCTTTGTGCTCAGTTCTGGCAAGAAACCTATCTACGCTCCAGCATCCTATCTGCATATTAAGCGGTTTGTGTGTTTGAAAAGGGAGAAAGTAGAGGGAAAGGATGCTTCCAAATAAACTCTGATGTCCTTCCTCTTACCAGTTGTGGTAAAATAGGCCCAGCGTGGTAAAAAAAAAGGGAATCATGAAGTAGAGAGAAAAAATGTGATCATCTCGATAATCCCCTATAGAAGAAAGAAAAACATGTGTTTGTTTGTGATAAGACAGGGCTGGTTGATTTTTATGAGTAAGAGATATTGCAGTCTAGGATTCCTTTGCTTTTTGTACCCACAAATGTATGTTATTTTCCTTACCGTTTAATTCTACAATATTGAATACGATAATGGAAGCAGCTATCACCAGTGACTGTCCTGCTTCAATCCCGTTAATTCCAGCGAGAATGTTGATGGCGTTGGTGCAGAACACTGCCAGCATGCCCATGTACACATAGTAGAGGATACCTACAGATCAGAGCAAACCAAATGCTTTAGTACTGGCAGGCAAAGCAGGCCCTGGGCCAATTCACCAAAGCTCTCATTTCCTGCTTTGTACAACAATCCTTTACCTAATGATCTCAGTGAGTTCTGGTTGTGGTAGCTTGCAAATAGATTGTTTCTTCTCCTATGAGCTGGCCATCATGTGTACATGTACATACAGCACTGTGACTGCAGCAAACTGCTGCGCCACGGGGGCAGGCTGCAGGGTTCCGTCTCTCAGTCCTGCTGGTGTTAGCAACTAGAGGCCGTGTACACCTGTATTGCCAGAATCATGGGAATCTATTCACAACTGAATGTGTGCTGCGTTTCTGGATATTCTTTCAGCCTAATATTTAGTGGGTGGAGTTCCACCCTTTCACTGGTTACTTAACCAAATCCTTTGTCTGCTCCCTCTGCAGCACACAGTGCTTCAGGTGATCCTTTCCACCAATTGCTCACCAGCTGGATGATGGCTTCTGGTGACTCATAACTCACCCAGGTCCAAGTGCATGCCCAGCAGCATCCGGAAGGGTTTAGGCACCACAATGGTCGTGTTCCCAAAGTTGGTGAAGTAAACCATGAGCAGTGGGAGGGAAGCCATGGTAGGAAGAAGCAGCTTGTGGCGCCAGCGCAGGTTCAAAACGTCATCTGCAAAGCCCAGGAAAATCATGCAGCAGATGGCAAGGAGCGAACCGATGAGCTCCACGAACTGCAGGACAGAGAACAGGACGCCGGTCACCGGTGGCTGCTCCCGGCCTGAGCCTGCCGCGCTCGCTGCGCCAGGCAAGCCTCACCTCGTCGTGAGGAAAGGCTGAACACTGCTCCTCCACAAAGCACCTCAGGAAGGGCACGGGGATGAAGCAGAAGAGGATGATCAGGAACACGGCACCGCTGATGACGCCCTGTGCTTCGGGGCTGGAAGGAAGGCAGAGCGGGGAGTCAGCCGGGCCTGGGCTGGCCCTGCGGGGCAGCTCTGGCAAGCAGCGTTACTCACACGGGCCGCCGTGAGGCCTTGTTGAGGTCCTCTCCGAAGAGTCGCGCAGCGAGGAAGTGGTCGGTGAAGGCCGGGATCAGCGTGAGCGTGGCCGCAAAGCCCAGCAGCGACCCGCCGAGGTTGATGAGGAGGGGCACGGCGGGCAAGGCCGCCATAGCCGTGGCGGGCGCTGCCCCTGCCAAGGGCACGGAGCCGGGGACGCCTACCGCCACCTCACCGGCCGGGCGCTACAGGGGCGGTGCCGGCTGGGTGAGGCCCCCGCGGCCTATCGGGGGCGGACGCGCCAGCTTTGGCCCTGGCGTGAGCTGCTCGCCGGCTCGGGGCTTTGGTCGGACGCCGGCCGGGAGCGGGAGGGCTTCTGGCCGCGCCTGTGCCCGCCGCCGGAATCCGTGCGGCTCCTCCCTGACCCGCGCAGCAAAGCTCTGCGCCGGGAGCAGCGCTCGCCCTGGGCGGAAGGAAGGAAGGAGGCGGCGGCGGCGGGAGCGCGCGCGCGGGGCTACGGCGGGGCCACGTGCGCCCGGAGCCGTGAGTGGGGCGGCGCCGCCTCTCCTCCGCTCACGCCGGGCTGCTCGCCAGCCATGCCCTGACCTCCCGCGCCATGGGGCCGGACTTGGGCTGGGCCGCGCTGGTGCTGCTCTTCGCCGCCTCGCTGCTCACCGTGGCCGCCTGGCTGCTGCAGTACTGGCGGTCCGCGGCCCTGCGTGTGCCGCGGCGGCGCGGGGCGGCGGCGGAGGAGGCCGGGGCCCGGGCGCTGCTCGTCGCGCTGCTCGCCCTTCGGTCCCTGCGGGAGCAGTGGCAGCGGGCCTGGGTGCGAGCCCTCAACAGCCAGGCACGCCGGCACGGGGTACGGCGGGGCCCGGTCGGGGGAGGGCGGGGGGCGGCGGCGGCGAGGGGAGCGAAGCTGAGCTGAGGTGGGTCTGCCAGCCCGCCCGCCCTTTGTTCGCTGGTGCCGGAGCAGCCCCTCCCTGTCCAGAGGAGCCGTCAGGCACTGGGAGCCTTGCGGGCGGCTCGGCTCGGCCTGCGCGGACCAGGGCGTCGCTCCTGCTAGTTCCGGTACCGCGCTCGTGTAGCCCGGTTTGGGGCAGAAGCCTGGCCAGCTGTGGGGAGCCAGGCTGCTGTAGCCACTCTGAAGTTTCCACAGCAATTTCTTAAACATTTTTCTGGTATTTATTTTCTTTAATGTCCCAATATTACTTTTATACTGATGTGTAGTTTTGGCGTTCATGAAGAAGAACATACCTAGCTGATTTTCATGTGGAAATAATTGCTTATAGCTTATATTGCCTGCAAGGCAGGGGCTTAGTGCCCACAAAAAGCTGTGGTCCAAAGCGCTCCAAAGTGTGTTGTAGTCTCCTTTTTTTTTTTTCTGTCGTGTGAACGGGAAGGGGGTGCATTTCTGTTAAGTTGTATAGGAAAATATAGAGGTAAAAAAGGTTAGCATGAGGCCAACATGTTTGAAGAACGAGCAGTCAAAACCTTGAAGAAGGATGCAAACTTTTTCCGGCAAGAAAAAGGAAAAATGTCTCCCCTTTTGACAAAGTGACAAATTTTAGGCTAGATTCAGTGTGAAGTGCCCTCCCCCACCCCGCAAGGAAACACACCCTCTGTCTGCTTCCATGCCCCTATTCACAATGCCGATCGAAGTGTCAGAAGTTGCCCATACCTGATATACTGTGCTTTTCTGTCACATGCTGAATTACTCAGATTCTTACAAAAATTACCTGAATTTTTAAGTTCCAGAATTTAGAATTCACGTAAAGTCTTACTCTAGTGCCCAGATTGCCCGCTTTCTCTCTCTTTTTGTCCCTTGTGAGCAGAGGGAATCTCTGAGGGCTAGGTTTTGTTCAGGGATGCTCTCAACTCTTAATCTTGGTCTTGTATTTTTCGAGGAGAATTCTTCGTTTAGTACCATCCCTATAATATGGGCATGTGGGGAAGTCCTCAAATGAAGAAGAGGTCCCTCCATAGTGGAGATTGTAATCTAATAAACCAGGGGAGGATGGAAAAAAGGAACAAGTTGAGCAGAGGAGCTGATGTACCATATGCTGGGGGTGTGGATTTTGTTGTAGTTAACTGTTCATTTAGTTAGGGGATTTTTTGTTTTGGTGGTGGTGGTTTGGTATTTTTCTTTCTTTGGAGCAGGATTAGCATAGGGGGGAGAGAGAGGAGAAACAGAAAAACTTCTGCAATGGAGACGGGTTAACACACTTGACCTACTATCCAGAACAATTTTTCCATTCTCATTTGGGCTTATCTGTCTGAAATTAACATAGCATTTGTGACTTTGAGCGTTAAATGGAGACTTTGTTTCTTTTCTCTGTACGGACAAGCCGAGGTGGGTAGCATTGCATTGTGGTGGGATGGTTTTGTGTGCTGGCTGGATTTGTGAAAACAGACTGGAGCATCTCTGGATTCCCACATCAGAATCATTCGTTCTCTTTGAAACTATCTGGACTACTCTGACTATTGGGAACTAACAGAGTTTTCTCTTTGTAGAGTTCAGTGCAGATCACATTTGAAGAGGGTCCTCAGTTACCACCAACCGCAAATATAAGTTGTGTGACGTGCAAGGGCCAGTTAGACCACAGCATGGTAAGGCTTTGCTGTTCTGAATTGTACTGTGTGGGGTTTCTCCCTTGACTGGTGGTGTGTTCTATGGAGATTGCTGAGACTTTTGTGACAGGGATGGTGGGACCGAGGAAGTCTTGGGCAAGGTCTGTTGTAGAGTTTGGAGGCCTGTCTCCTGTTCAGAGGCTCTGGGACTATACTTCATTGAGCTCTGGGAGAGCTCGGGGAGGGGAGATGTGTCGGTGAGATGGGCTGTATGGATGTTGAGCCCAAACATCATCTCCTACAGTGGAGCAGAGATGAGAGCTACTGTCACCAATTTGTCCTTACTGCCTCATGTACAGAGTCTGAAGTGGCAGGTTCACAGTATGGAACCTGGGGAGAGTAACTTAACTGCCTCTTGCTGGGGTAGAAACTCGTCTCTTTTCCGTAGGTGCTGTGCTGCCATCTGTCAGCTGAAGCTGTGAAATTCCCTGTCTCTGTTACTCAGCAGTCCCCAGTTGCTGTTTCTGTGGACACCTATCATGTCACTTTGGCTGTGATGCAGGCTCAGGTAAAAACTGTAAGAAGTTAGACATTGGCCTTATTCTTTCATCCAGTCCCACACTGATCGAGGAAAGAGGACCAGATTTAGCGCAAATAAAGACATCACTGGGCTAGAAGAAGCAACGTGCTGTCACTAATATTTGGTGAAGTGGCAGATATTCCCCTTCGACATGCCCAGTCCTGTTTTCCGAGTCTTGTTCTGCAGATTTTGGCTATGAAACATAGCTGTAAGAAAATCCTGAGAGTTTTGAGGCATGACAGCATTCTATGATGTGTTTTTAAGTGGCTATTTAAGAAGTCCAGAAAATTCAGTTCCTCTCATGACATAATGGATAGGTAAAGGTGTGTCCTGTCCATATGTACAAGTATGGTGGTGTCCTGGTAGTCGGTGTGAAAAAGAAATCCATTGTGAGGAGTAGTTTACTTGTCAGTGTTCCTCTTATTACATTCACAAGAGCACGATACAGCTTTTATCTGTGTGTTGAATATCGGAGATGCTTCTTCCAGAACAGAAGCTGTGTGAAATCACAAAGGATGATAACTCCATAGTCACTCTCTGGCTGGATTTGATTCTCTGGAATGTGATTTTGTTCCCATCGTGATGAAGGATGAGACACTGGGCATGGTATCTTGTGTGGAGACTGCATTCATTTGCACTATAGCAAAATAAATAAATAAATAATAGTAATAAAAAAAGAATCACGGTGAGATTAGAAGTAACTCGGTGGTAGCAGAAGCCAATCCCATGCTATTGCAGGTATTGCAGTTGGAAAGTTGTTGTGGAACCCCTTTGGTCTCAGAAACCTTATTATAATTTTAATGTATATTCCAGATCATCCCAGTTTTATTTTGTGCCTGTGTTTTGTGGTAATTTAAATAGCTCCTCTCTCTGCTCAGTATTTAGTGTGCCTGCTGCCAACCTAGTTGTGTGCAGCAACTGCAGTTGCTTTTCATCTTTGAAAGTCCCCTTTCTCACATCTCATCCAATTGCTCCCCTACTCACTAGCGTTTTCTAGGTTTCCTTGTCTGCACCTGCTGAAGTCTTGGGTTGATTGTTCTTGTACAGAATTGCATGTGGTACTCTAATTGAGATCTTGCTGCTGCTTTAGGAAATGCTGGTTAGATTACCATATACCTGACTGTTGGAATACTTCAAGTACTGTATTCCCAATTCTGCTTTTCCTGTTCTATGCACCTCTTGTTGGTTACTTAACGGTAGTGAGGAAGCCAGATCTTGCTGTGGAGCAATGAGGCTTCTGCAGCTGCTTTATCCTGTAGGCCTGGGAGCACTTTTGTTCTTATGTTCTGTGTCTTACTGTTGCATTGGTGAGAGCGCCTTTCAATCACTGATTTTGAAGTGGGGCAAAAAGCACGTAATAAAACCAGAAACTGTTCCTGATTATGAGTATTTGTTCTGAGCCAGGTGGAGATCCACTTGGAGGAGAGAGAGAATGAGGGTCTCCTGGTGTCATGGACATTCAAGGACAAACCAGACTTGGACCTTTTGGTTCTTCCAAGACTTCAGCTTCCTGAGGTGAGTGGCGCATGGGGGGAGGCTGACCTTGATGGAGGAAGGGAGGGAGCAGTAGAAACAGTGTCGAGCTGGGAGAAATTCTCCTGTGGAGGGGGAAGGTTGGCAGCTTGCTGCTGTGGCCCTTTAGGGAGAGGATTCTTTCACCCTGGAATCGATACTAGCTCAGCTGTGTCAAAACAGCACATCTTCAAGAGGGCTGAAGCAGTACCAATATCTGTTGAAGGCTTTCTGTCTCTGTAGGTTCCTCCTGCTATTGTCAGATGTAGAGCTGCAAAATGAGCTGGGTTGGCACTTTTGTGTGTGTGTGAGGAGTGTGTGAGGTGGTGTTTGCTTGTTGTTGTGTTTGTTTGGGGTTTTCTTGAGAAATTAATGTGGAGAACCCATGGGTGTTAGAGGTTTAATGAGCTGAATGTGGGTGTGCTTGCTCTTCTGTGATTCAGATAGGTTGGTTGATTTGTTTGTTTTATTGACACCTTTATTCCAAGTAGAAGTAGGAATGTGTCAGTTTTCCCAGTAGTGCAATAGTGCCATTTTGTGAGGTAGTGAGGATGTGACAAACTATAAGAGTTGTATTGTAAAAATTTACAACGGGTAGACTACAGATGTAGAGCCCTAGTTTGTCTCATTTAGAAAGCTTGCATTTGCATGCAGCTACTACACGGAAGCTCACTGGGGAGAGTGACTATGGGATACAGAAAGAGTATCTGGGAGGTTATTACTAGGAGAAAGACTGTGTAATACCATAGAGGCTTGGGAGGCAGTTGTAGTTGTAAAAGGAGAAAATGTGTTGGTATTTTATGACTTTCCTGCATTTCCTCTTGATTTGTGGAGAGAAGGATGAAGGGAGAGTGGATCTGTCCACGATAAGGGATCTGATCGAGGATACCATTGTCAGCACACAACCAGCCATGACCGTGAACCTGATGGCTTGCACCGCTGGAGCCAGTGCGGTAAGGCACTCTCCTCCTGTCATCCTTGTGCCTCAAACTCAGGCCCCAGGACACTTCCGAGGGCTGAGGTTCAGGCAGAAATCCAAGGGTTGAGTCTCACTTCTGGGCGACAGCTGAATCCTGACCCGCACTGTCATAGGAGTTGGGGTTCTGCAACATAGGGCATAGGGATAATTAGAAACTGCTTCAAAGGGCAACTCTGTGCCTTGTTTCTTGAGTGCTGATTGTTGGTCGTGTTGTTTTGGAGCCAGACCGCCTGAGACTCGTCTCTGTTTTGGCAGTCTCCCTTGCCCTGAACACCAAGGCTCTGTCCAGGGTAGCCTTTGCAGACATGGAATGGTCCATGGTTTGTCATTGTCAGTTGACTGTCTGGCAGCCAGCAAGCTTGTTCTTGCTTGTCTCCTTTTCTGTCTGCTTTAAACTTCCCACCTGACATAACACGAGGGCCCACCGGAGCTTGATAGCTTGGGAAACCTGCAGCATTTCTGGATGGCTTTGTGGGTGTTCCTGTGTTGGTGTGAGGAGCTACTTAGTAGATACGAGGACCAACGTCATGCATCTTGCTGCTGTCTGCTGACGAGTGAACGATAAAGGCATCGGTCTCGCTCTCGTCATTCCTCAGGTACCCAGCAATAAGTTGACTCGAGAGTCCCCGTCCGGAGTAGCAGCAGCCCCTCTGGGTTCTAAGCTGTTGCTCCGGAATCTTCGAGTGCTGAACTTGGGCTGCCAGGGGAAGGGAGGTAAGCGTGAAAACATTGCTGATCCACAGGGGCAAGTGCGCAGGTGGTGAGATTGGAGTGAGTGGATGTTTTGGGTGGGTTTGAATGGAAAAGAGGGGCGTGTGTCTGCTGAACCAGTGCCTCACGCTGACGAGTGCATGCATGCCCTCTGTCCCTCTGTTGCAGGAGTTGGGGAGATATGCTGTGTAGCAGAGCTAGACAGCCCCCCGCAGCAGAAGTGGACAAGGCCGATGACAGCTGGCAGTGCCAGTGCTGCAGGAGAGATGGAGTGGAACGAGGAGCTCTTTCTGTAAGTGTCTGTCCTGCTTCCAGACTGGCACAGTCTCTGAGTGTCATTCCCACACTGCAATAACAGTTGCGGTTGGTGCAGAGGTGGAGTCTGGCATCAGAAGGCAATGTCTGTTTGTGCTGCTCCTGTGCTGATGTTGCTGCTTCCAGCAAGTGGCCCCAGCCTGCGTGTACATATTTCCAGCTATTGTGGACACTCTTGTGTTTTAACTGGGTGGGCTGAAGAGCTGATTGTGGGAACAGCAGGCACAGGAGGGCTGTAACGTAACTCTCAGCGTTCCAGACAGATTGCCCTCTCAACTTCCTTTGGCAGCCTACACAGCCCTGCAGGGGACACAAAACAGAGTTCTCTTCTGTGTAGTTTCTGCCCTACACATGTCCTCCAAAGCAGTGCACGCATACTGGAGCTTTGGAGAAGGTGATGAGGCATGTGAGATTTGAGGGAGAGAAGATACAGAATGGAGTTGTTTGCTCCGTGGCCACTTTGGAAACAGTGCCTAACAGCAGCCCGTCTTTTTCTGTTTCAACAGGGAGTTGGGGCCTAAAAGCAAAGAGCTGAAACTACAGGTGCTGGGGAATAGCAACGGAGTGGGAAGTGAGTATGGGCAACCATAAGATGGGTTGTAAGATGGGGAGACAAAAATGCCTAAGGGACTTACTGTGCTTTAAGCTTGTGGTAGTGCTGTGTCGGTACGATGTGCGATGAACTCTGCAAAGGATTTTTCGTAATCCAGCTTTATGTGAGCATCTGTCTGCGTGAAGTAACTCAGTTCTGGTTTTCTTACCAAGATGGTCTGAGTCTGACTTGAACTAGGAGATTCCTGTGGCCTGCCCGTCTCCGCTCTGAAGCAGTTAGAGGCATGTCCCGTGTATCAGAAGAACTTTGCAGAAGGCTCTTAACTCTGTTCATTTGTACTCAGGGACCAACTGTAGCATCTATTTTTGATGGAGGCCACACAATGACCACCTTTTTAAGGGAGTTGATTTCTGGATTGTTAAAGAGGAGCGGTGGAGTGCTGCCTGCCTTTTCTCCCTCTTGAACCTGGGAGCTAGCAATGTTGTGGGGATCTGCTTTATTGACCCGTGGGGCTGCTTCCCAAGAGCAGGGAGATGCCTGGGAGATATCTGAGGTGCTAAGGTCATTTTGTGTTTCATTTTCTTGTTCCTTCTTGCAGATGTGCTGCTGGCATATGCCACACTTTTGATTGATTCTTTGGGCAAACGACCATCTGGAAGACACGTCTGCTCACTGGCCCCAGGAGCTGGGCAGTCACTGACAGCTGAAGCTACCATTACACTGGAGGTGAGCTCACAACTCCACAAGCTCTGCACTAATGTATGCTCTGAAAGTGTTCATGATGTGAGCCTCTAGCTGGAGACAAGCATATTTGGGGCTGAACTCGGCCCAGGGAGCTGGCAAACCCTTATGCCAAGGAGGGATGTTGCCTGACCCTCAGTTCCTGAGCGTCCCTCTTGAATTGACACTGTAGTGGGGATGGCTCTTCAGTACCCGGAGCCCTAGCTTTTGTTGCCCAGATATGCCTGCCTTTCTATCTGGGGAAACAGAGCCTCTCTGAGCAGTGCTTTACTCTTTATAGCTGCTATTCCAGGAGTCTCCCACCTCTTTGAATGCTCAGCACACTGCGTCTCTGCGAACCAGCATCACCCCTACTAAGAAGGTGGAGATGGACCGGACCATCATGCCCGATGGCACCATTGTGACTACTGTCACCACGATTCAGTCCCGGCCCAAGGCAGACTGCAAACTGGGTGAGGCTGCCTGCAGCAGGTATATTGTGCAGGTGGCTGCTACGGCAGCACAGTCTTAGGAACGATGCTCCTGAGGCAGCTCATGCAGGTAGTAGCAAAACTGTTTTGCCATCACGTGTGGTTACTGCAGGCTGACTCCTTACGCGTTGCTTTTGGCTTGTGGGTCAGAACACGGGCATCCTTGCTGTTCCCTGTGCGTCTTGTGGCTGGCTGGAAACTTGTGCATATCCCTAGGGGAGGGAATTGATGCAGCCCTGTGTTTGCAGGGAGATGAGGAAGGAATTAGCCTCTCTCACACCCTTTGATGGTCAAAGTCTAACGCATATGCTGTCACATAAACCTCCGTGTGATGTTGGGCTGAGTGTTTAGCCACTCTTCTTCTGTTTCCTTCACTGCTGAAGAAGTTATGCTGTATGTAGTGAATGTGGAGCTGAAAGTGTCTTGACCTTACTTACTAGGGGTAGCTGCTACTTGCAGTCTTGCATCCTGATGAATGTGGTGCTGGATATTCTATGAGATGAGGCTGGGAAATGGCATGAATGAGGTCCTGTGAGTAGCTGCTTCACAGGATTGTGGCCCAGAAAGCCACCTGTATCGTGGGCTGCATCAAAAGCAGCATGGCTAGCAGGTCAAGGAAGGTGATTCTCCCCCTCTACTCTGCTCTTGTAAGATTTCACCTGGAGTATTGTGTCCAGCTCTAGGGCCCCCTCCGTATAAAAGATATGGACTTGATGGAGTGAGTCCAGAGGAGGGCCACTAAGTTGGTCACAGGCCTGGAACACCTCCCCGATGAAGACAGGCTGAGAAAGTTTGGGCTGTTCAATCTGGAGAAGAGAATAATGGCTCCAGGGAGACGTTATAGCAAGCAGCCTTCCAGTACCTAAAGGGGGCTGAAGAGGGACTCTTTACAGTGTTAAGATGAGGGGGAATGGATTAAAGCTGAAGGAGGGTAGATTTATATTAGCTATTAGGAAGAAAGCTTTGCTTGTTAGAGTGGTGAGGCACTGACACAGGTTGCCCAGAGACACTGTAGCTGCCCATCCCTGGGAGTGCTCAAGGCCAGGCTGGATGGGACTCTGAGCAACCTGGTCTAGTGGAAACGGGGTTGGAATGAGATGATCCTTAAGGTCCCTTCCAACCCAAACCATTCTGTGGTTCTATGGTTTTCTCAATAGGCTTCTTACTGCTTCTGTGCCGCAACACCTTACAGAGCCAGCCTTGCAGGATCTCCACACGCTCGATGGAGGCTTTTTGGGGTTGTGTGGAGGGACCACAATACAGTAGCATAGTTGCCTAAGCTTGCCACTTACTGGTATCTGTGTCTCTTTTGCCATGAAGATTCACCATCGAGGTCGCCTTCTAAGGTGGAAGTGACTGAAAAGAAGACAACTGTGCTTTTGGAGACTGGCTGTCCTCCTGGCCCCTTGCCCAGCAATAGCCGTAAGTGCTTGGAAATTTGAGGCTCTTAGTGAAGTAACTGTTTTCTTTAGCGTTTCTTGGAAAGTGATAGACTGAGTGTGGTTCACTGAACATGTTTATATTTGCTGCGGCAAATATAAACACGTTATGTCCAGGTGCCTGAGTGAAGGCAGGGCCGCAGGATTGGTGGTGAGGTGGAGGCAGGTATAGGACATTCTGCTTTGGCTGTCCAGTCAGTGAATCTGAGTGTTTCCTTGCTTGACAAGAACTTTACAGGCTATCCGGACCCAAAAAACTTTGATCACCCTGCACTCTGGGCTCTGATTGTGTCTGAAACAGCACTGCAACGGCTTTGACAGTTTACAGCCAGGGCTGCCCAAACTCTTGGAAACCTTTACTGAGTGGGAGGGGTATTTTAATGATATGCCTGGTGGGAAATGCCAAAAAAAGCCAAGAGCTAGCTATACAGAGCTTCCTTTGAGTTATTTGGACAGGTCTGTAATAAATTCTGTTGTCTACCTTTGGGTGCGTGTAAGTTGCCTATTATAAGTATTGCAGTCAGCAAGCGACCTTTTGCCTGTGCTGAAAGTTTGCTACTCCAAGCATTGGTATTTTTCTTGTGTTCAGGGGATGGCCATATGCCCAATGGTTTGGATCCAGTGGCCGAGACGGCGATCAGGCAGCTAACTGAGACAAATAACAAGACTACCAAGAAGACACCAACAAAACGTAGCACACTGATCATCTCAGGAGTTTCCAAGGTCTCTGGTAGATCAGAGCTGCATTTCCAGTCTGGGAGGTTGTTTCTAGGAATGCATGCATGAAACTACCTTGTCCTGTAGGGACCAGTTTGGGAAGGTTCCAACACAGATGACTGGCTCAGCAGAAGCCTTTTGCGGCTTCCCAGTAAGCGTTAAAAGGTACCTTGCCAGTCTGCAGGGCAGCTGCCAGTGGGAGCTCACAAAGGGCATCTTCAGAAAGGGAGCCTGCTGCCATAGCTGTGTTTGATCCTCACAGAGAATATAAGGAGTTCTTGAACTTGACTGTGGGAGTGAGGGAGGTGCTGCAGAATGCTCTGTAATTGGCAGTGTTTCAGCAAAAAAATGATGATTGTGCATCGGTGACGCCTGATGATCAGAACTGGAGCATCCGTATGTAGGTGTAGATGGCAGAAGGGAGATGATTGCAATTCTTTCGGTCCTGTCTCCAAGTCTGTCTGCCTTTCTACTCCCCCTTCAGGTACCTATTGCTCAAGATGAAATGGCACTTTCTCTGGGTTATGCTGCATCCCTGGAAGCCACAGCATTTGGAGACTCTGCAGCAGAGGGCACAGCTGACCAGATGCATGATTATACCGAATCGTCACAGCCGCTGGAAGCGTCACTGTTGGGACAACGGGCCAGTCAGGAGCTGGATGAGACAACGCGATCAGACATCTCTGAAAGACCATCAGTGGAAGATGTTGAGTCTGAAACTGGCTCCACAGGAGCCCTTGAGACCAGGAGCTTGAAAGATCACAAAGGTAAGATGAACTGTTAGATGGTAGCTATCATTGGCCTGTTGTACATAAGGACGAAGTGACATCTGAGTTCCCCAGCCAAGAATGGGGTCCGCAGCCAGCTTTTGGCATGACTAAGAGCAACTTTTTACTGGAGCCTGGAAGAGCCCCTCTCTCTCCTCTGCTTTCCACTAGAGTGGTTCCAAATTCCTCTATTCGTAGGTGTACGATTCCTATAACCTTTTCAATTTCTGTGCTCTCTTAAATGGAAACCCTGTGCAGCTTGTGTACATCAGAGAACCGTTTTCTCTTTATGACCTCTACATCCACAGATCAGGTGCACGTCTGTAAACAATGATTCCTCCTCTGATCTGGCCACCTCTGGTGTGGAAATGCAGGCTGCCCAGCAATGTGGGTTGTATGGGCCTTGATGCCCTCCTTCTTTCCCTGCTAATATCAAAGCAGCTACTGCCTCTGACCTGTTGTACTGTAGGATTTCCGCACAAACTCTCTACTTTTAAATGATGGAGCAGGCCTGCCCCAACCTAGCTGCTGTTCTGGACTTTCCTCCTTTGTGGCAGTTGGGTGGATAGCACACCTTGGATTTGTCTGCTCATAGCCACAGCATTTTCATGTAGCTACCATCTTATGTAAACAAATGCAAATAACAATCTTGATTGCTCGGAATATGAGAGTAGGACAAGTTTTGGGCAGTTGTACCCTGTTACAACCAGGTGTAGTTTGAATTGTGGAGGCCCCTTGTTTTCATGTCAGTGGATAGAAAGGTGTGTAACCCAGATTCTTGAGAGACCTGGTGGGTGGAGAAGAGAGGGAAAACAGAAAGCAAACTCCCTCTTGTGAGAAATAGCGTTGTAGTGCTGTATGGCGTGCAAGTTTTAAAAATGCCTTTCTGATCCAGTTGAGACTGATGGCAATTGGTGTCTCCATCCTCTCATGCTTGTGTGGGTCATAAGGAGCCATTGGCATTATTTGCCTCCAGATTGGGCCTGTGAAACCACAGGCAATTGTTCCAGGGGCCTGATGATCAGTTAATCTGTGCGCCCTTGAGACGGGCTAGTCTGAGGGCCTTTTTCCCCTTGTGCGTTCCTCTCGGGATCTTCACATTCAGGTATTCATATTCATTTTCCATTCATGTTGATCTTAACTTTCTATTACAATTCTGCATATTTCCAGTGAGGGGAAGATGTTGTGTAAAAGGAAGTTTATGCAGAGGGAACATGTGATGGAATGCATAGTGAATCAGCTTGTTGGCATTGCAGTCTGTCATGAACAGAGACTTTGCCTTGCATTTGGGAGCTGGGATTTGCAGACTACTGGTGACTTCTACCACCTGGGGTGGAGAGGTCTTTGCTGCATATCTGAGAATGGCCAGGTGTGTTACTGTCCCTGAAACTGGCCAGGGCAGGACGCTCTCATGGTTTGTCTCCTTCCTTTCTGTCTCTGCAGTTGGCTTTCTTCGGAGTGGTACCAAGCTCATCTTCCGGAGAAGGAGCAAGCAGAAGGAAGTGGGCCTGAGCCAGTCACATGACGACTTGTCTAATGTAACTGCCAACTCTGTCACCAGGAAGAAAGCTGGTAGCTTTTCTCATCGCCTCATCAAGCGCTTCTCCTTCAGGTCTAAATCCAAACCCAAAGGTAGTGACAGCACATCAGCTGTAGAGAACTGAAGGAGGAAGAAACCCATTGGAAAGATTTCTCAGAGATCGTTTTATAGTCTCTTGTCTTCCCACTCCATGGTATCTGTGACCTGCAGTCCAGTTCTTTCCAACCTTGGCTGAGGGAAGACACCTCAGTGCTTTACACCATCTGGGGAGTGGAGGTGGCAAACCTGGGACTTAGGCTGCTTGTCTGCCTTGGCTTAGCCTTCTCTGATTGTTGTACCCCACTGTGCTCTCCCAGAAAATCCAGGTGTCATGCTAATCCCCCTGGGGGTCCCAGGAGCTGCAGAAGTGACTGCACCTGTATAGCCATCTGGCATCATGGTGCCTCTTGGAAATGGGAGGCAGGTCTCTCAAGTGGCAACCTTCAGAGCTGCAGATCAAGAAACTACTGGGTGAGCTACATGACTGAGAAGTGTGGGATGTAGCCTCGCTCAGCTCTTTTAGCGAGAGAGAATGATGCAGTTGATGATGATCTAAACGCTCTTATTGCTTGTCCTTGGTGCAGAGGCTGTAACCTGAGGTGTGCTGGGGGCCATGCATTCCTGGGCTGTGAGCTGGCAGGAGAACAAGCTGCGGTTCTCCATGTGGGAACTGTCCTTGGAACAACCAGTTTGGACAGCACTGAGAGACCCCTGCTTTCTGTGCTATGCTGGTGAAGGAAGGAGTCTCTAAGAAGAAGGAAGTTTAAACCACTGCACAAGTTCTTTGGCCCTTGCAAGAATGCCTGGTCAGTGCCGTCAGTTCTGCCACCCTGTGCATTCACCCTGTGATGCAGCCCTCCTTCCACAGCCCTGTTGTTGAACGGCGAAGGGGCCGTGCTGCATGTATGCACCAGCTGTCCCATGAGCAGATCCCTTACCCTTGGGGGTGGTTGGGGATGCTGCCGAAGGGGTGCCAGCCTGTCTTCTGGACCTGTGGAGGGCCCAGCCTCGTGCACTCTCGTGGTTTTCATGCCGAGGACTGGCACCATGCTTGGAATGGATGGCAAGGAACATGGCAAGGAATGTGGTGAAAGGGCAGTCTAATGGGGAGCCTGAAAACACATAGTAAAAAGAGACAAGAGTTTACGTTTTCACTGATGAAAGAGTTTCCTGTAACAGAAGGAACCTTTCTTGATTTCCTTTCTTCTAGCAAACCTAATCCACTGCTTTCAAACAGAGGGGGCATTTCTGCAGTGGTGTTTGCAGAGAGAGGGGCATGCAGGGGAAAATCGACTCCTTTTGTGGGAGAAGACTGCCCTTCTAGATGAGCGGTTGACTGGTCTCCTGACCCGTGCACATTGTGAATATAATGTCCCCAGAGGCTCCCTTTGAAGAGCATAACAATGCTCTTTGGAGAAACACCCATGCCACTGTCAGCATGCCTAGTTTCAGTGGAAGCTCCTGTTCTCCTGTGGCTTATAAGGTTAAGGAAGTGGAACAGAGGGGTGGAAACGACTCACGGAAGAACTGTTGCCTAGACCTGACTCCATTCGCCAGCTCTGCTCCCCTGTTTCAGTACCTCCTGAGGTGATGGCTATTGCCCTGCCTAAGGCAGGATGCTACCAACTGAAAAAACAGTTCTCTTGATGGCGTGCATAAAATGGGTTGTCTTCTTTGGAAGAACAAATCCTTACTTATACTGCTGCTGTGTGCCATTTCCAAAGACTGGAACGTCTCTGGATATTGCACTGCAAAAGAATTTACAGGCGGGAGCCTCAGGGTATCTCTTGAGTATTTGTGCCGATAGGGAAGGCCAGAGTCACCTAGGGACTCCTTGTTTTTCCTACTGATTCCCCATGTGATTGGGCATGTGTGAAAAATAAGATTGGTCCAGCTGGCTGACCAGGAACCTCTTCATTTGGTTTGGTGCCGGAGTCTTTGTCATCCTCAAGCTCTGCCATGTCTTCTATCTTTAGTTTCTTTCCTTGTCCACGTGGTACTGTGGCTTTGTTTGCAGTCCCATGCACTAGGGATGTTGGAGAAATCTCTGTTTCTCGCTGAAGATCATTTTCCTTGAAGCAAGTAACCAGTTCCTGCTCTGATGGAACCTGGCAATCCGTGGCTCTCGTGTATGGATCCAGCCACCAGTTGGATGTGGCCTGCCTTTGCTGGATTGGTGTCACACATGGTGCTGTCCTTCCCCAGCACGCCCTTTCTGCCAGAGTCCCAGGGTTTGGTTCCAGTTTGGCATTCTCTCTTGCACCTTCCCCTCTGTGAGTTGTAGCAATGGCAGTATTTGATGCTTGATTTTTGGTTTTTATTTATTTTTTTTAATACTCTGTCAGGGTTGCTTTGGGTGAAGAGTGCTGGCTGAACCCAGACAAGAGTGCTTCTCTAGTGGGATGGCTGGGAAGCCTTGCAGTGGAAACACTGGTTTGAGCAGAAGGGAACTTTTAGAAGAGCCAGCAGCTCATCAGTTGTGGGGTAATCACAGGACTTGCCATGAGTCTGATTTTATAGTCCTGTGTTCTTTTCTTTAAACTTCAAGAGCAACTCAAGCCCTTGTGATGAGGAGCAGCTGGAGGGTCATTGGGCTTCTGAATCAGGGATCTGGGGCTCATGTACACAAGGAGGGCTGTGAGGGCTGGCCAGTGTTGTCCTTGTCCCTGTGGACTGGAGGCAGAAAATGTGAGATGTCTGACAAACATGTGCCCAGAGTCTTGACCAGCATGTTTTGGTCTGATTTGGAGGAAGAAGTGATAGGAAGGGAGTAAAACTGAAACTCAGGTTCCTTACTGGCCTTGGGGACCTTTCTAGCTGGTCCTCATTTAAATTCCCATTTAAATGGGAATTCCTGCCATGTGTCTATGGGCTGTCCTGTATTTCTTCCTGGTTGGCTCCAGCTATGCCTCCTGATCACAGTGGAGGTACTGGTTTTGATTTTGAGCTTTGATGTGGCGAGGATTTCTGCACTGTAGTTGGCAGAATGAAGGGCAGATGGGAAGCATGATGGTAGGGGCACATCTTCCCTTGAATTTTTAGCCATTTTTTTTTATCACAGGCAGTAAATTGCACTGCAAATTTGTATCTGGTTAGACAGCTTGCAAAGGAAAGGGGTATCTTCAAGTGCTGACTGAGCACATGCCCATACATTAAGAAGTCCTGCATCATCTACTTGTGTTTCCTAGTGGAGATGTGTTTTCTGCGATTTTGTTTCTTCTCAAAGTCATACTGATAAGACTGATACTGTAACCTTTTGTATTCTTTTAAATGCTCCTGGTAAGTGCAGATTGTTTTCCAAGGTGTTTGGCTAAAGTGCTGTTTGAGCTACAGAGGGATGAGAGAGAAAGGGCTCAGCTGTGTGTATTGGAAGTTTTTTAGTTCAATACACTCCTGATTACCACGTTGATCCTTCCTCGTCATATCTGTATATGGCTTCCTTTCTCCTTTGCAGAAATGTGTTGATCCCCTAAGAAGTAGGTGCTGGTTTCGTTAGTCCCTACTATGTGAGCTTCCCGAAGGTGTGAGCAGTAATGAGTCCACCTCATGGGGGAGGTATGGTTATTGGTGTGAGAAACAACTCTTCTATCCTAGTCTTCTCAGAAGGAAAGGGAAAGTCACACGGGGTTTTGCCCTCCAAAAACTGTAGGCTCCCTGGAAATTTTCCCCCATAGAACGGCTGCTTAAAGAAACCTCTTTCTTGTTTAATCCCTGCCAGTGCTTCTGGCTTTAGGACAGAAGTAGTGATATTTGAAATCTGATTTCCCTGTTTAACTTCTTCCAGATATCCATGCCCTCACCTTGGCGCTGCTGCAGGGTCTGTGGCATTTCATAATGCTGGGACCACAAAGCAACCCCAGGGAGTGGCGAGGCTGCTGTTGAATTTTGTAAGCTTGAATAATCTGCAGTTGGCAGATTGTTGTCTCAGGGTAGGCTCAATATTTGCACCTTGTGAAATTGGTCCTTGACCAAATATGTGATGGAGGAGGAGGAGCAGAGCAGTGGCATGAATGCATGGTGGGTTCTGAAGTTCAACCTGCTTGTGGGGGCCTGTATTCCAAATGCTATGTTTCACTGTCAGCTACATAAGCACGAACAGTGGCCGGTAAATGAAGCCAAAGTAGCCATTTTGGGTTTTTTTGTTTGTGACGGGTTTGTTGTTTGGTTGGTTGTTGTTTGGTTGGTGGTTTTTTTTGTTGTTATTTTTTTTTTGGTTTGGTTTTGTTGAGAGTTTTGGGTTTGGGGTTGTTTTTTTGGTTTGTTGTTGTTGTTGTTGTTGTTGTTGTTTTTTTCCAAATTTTGGCTGAACAGAATTACTAGAACTTACCTATGTTGTGTATTTTTACTGCTCTGAAGAAAATAGATTTGCAAGTATGCTTGTAAGTGTATTTCTCTCTGGATGCATCCTCTCCCTATGCTTTGGTAAGGCTTTTTAAGAGTCTCCTCATCAAAAAAAAGCCCTCGGTGTTGGCCTGTTAGGGGTATGTTTGAGTCAGGCACAGGAAGAAATGAAGGGAACTACACAACCTCAGTGTTCTGAGGGTGCTGGAGGCTTTGCCATGATGCATGTCTGACTGAGGCCAGAGGGATTGTGGGTTTGCATGTGGTTATACAAGCACCTGTACTGGGAATGCTACAAAGGGGCAGGGAATGACAGCACTAAGTGGGAGAGTCTTCTGTGCCATTCATATTCATTTCTTGCGTGGACCTGAGCAAGTCCAACTCCTGCCCCTGCCAGCACCCTTGTGTTGTTTATGTAGCTGAGGACAGGTTTTTAGGTAGATTGGCTGAAGTAAGGAAAAGCAAGGGAAGACTATTCAGGTGGAGAACTGGTTCACTTTAGGGGAACATAATGAGAAGTTCTTCAAACCATGAGAGAGCAACATGGGCATGTGCTGGGTTTAGACTAGAACTGGGCACGTGGCAAAGTTTAATCTTAAAAATGTTTTTGTTACGTTTTTTTGTCTCTAGTAGTGCAGTTTCCTTCCGTCAATGGCTTCTCTTGGCTCATTGCTTGCTATACCTACAGAGAGGTAATTTCTGGGTACCTGGGGAATGTTAGGAGGCTGCTGTTTGTGTTGTTTTGGTCTTTTGCATTGTTCTCTCCACATTACCTCCCGCACTGCAAGGTCATGGTGTCTCATGGTAGAGTAACAATCCCAGTGGTGGTCAAACTTCTAGCAAAGGTCTTTGTGTACTTGTGATATTGCAGCTCCTCCTTACAGGCATGACTGCTCCATACCACATTTTCTTGCTTGTAAGGTACTGGACCAAATACCCACATGAAATTTGAATTAGTGCCCCTCCTTGTGTGTACTCTTTTGTACTTTGATGCCTTCTCTCTGGGTGGATTATTTTAACCCCAGGTTGTTTGAGGGAAAAGAATTGGAACTGCATAGCTATTTAAGAGAGGAGAGTAAAACTACTTATGACTAAATGAAGTTCTTGCACCTTTGTAAATTTTGAAGAAGTCTATTGCTGTGTAATGGCTGAATCTGTTAACTTATTAAACCATATGAAAATCAAAACCTGGCCTTGAGTCTGACTTCATACCTGTCAGAGTGCTGTGAGTTGCCCTGATTCACCTAAAAGACTAGATTATAGGAAGGGAAATATTAAAACAAGTTAATCACTTATAGTTAGTTGTCCTAAATAAACAAACCACACAACCTATGACAACAAACCACTTTTTGGTGGACAATAGTTAGTGTACTCAATACTGCAGCTTCATAAAAAACTTCCTACAAAATAAGAAAACAGCTGATGAACACAGGAGAGTACCAGTACTGTAATAAGAAGTAAAGCTTTTGCTGTTGATTGTAACACGATTTACATGTAATTCCCCACAGCAGAGGCTTCATCCTTGAAGGGCCAGCAGGCTCACAAAATAGCAGGTGTCCCTGCAGAAGGCAACATTGACCTTCATGTGAAACATGAGAGATTCGAGTGTGAGCCACCTGCATTTTTTATGTAAAAGTTCCCACTTTTTTGTTTCTGATGGTCAGCAGTGAAGTGATTGCCATCACAATTTCTACACACGCTTCATTTTTTTTTGCTATTTTTATGGTTAGGGTAAAGGTTATTTTTATTTGGGTTAGGGTTAGGGGCATTTTAAGCTTATTTTTAGGGTTATTTTTAGAGTAGGGGTTAGGGTTAGGGGTTAGGGTTGGGGTTTGGGTTAGGGTTCAGGTTAGGATTCAGCACCAGCTCTACCAGCCTAAAAGAGACCAGGTGTACCCTTTCGACGGAGACGCCAGGTCATGTAATGGCCAGTCTTCGCGAATGAAGAACCAGGGAAGGTCTTTCCACCTTCCAGCCTGCGCATTGGATTTTTTAGGTGAGACACAGTGTGCGCGGAACTGAGCCCACCCTTTAATCCTAAGGTTCATCTGCCGGGGCCAAGCACGCTTGGACGGTGGCAGTGAGGTCCTCAGGACGTAGGTGAATTGCCTTCCAGGGCTAACGAGCTCCATCTGCCCGGGGAGTGGCCCCGACCGGGAATCGAACCCGGGTCTCTGCAGTGACAGCGCGGCCAGGTCAACGTCCCTAAAGAGAACAGGTCTACCCCCTGAAAGAGAGCAGGTCTACCCGACCGACTCGGACACCAGGTCTACCGGCCCCTGAGGGAACAGGGGCGGGGCCGCGCGGAGTGGCCGGGCCGGGCTGGGCTGGCAGAGCGGGCGGGGCCATCCCGGTGCAACCTGTCCTGCAGCCCCTCCGGCGATGTCCCTGCAGCAGCGCAAGGGGTGCGGAGAGCGCAGCAAGGTGCAGCGAGCTAGGGCGGGGCTGGGACCCGGGACAGTGTGCATAATCCCCCAAAACCCGCACCCA